GAAAAGCGAAGAAGACAGGTGATTGTAGCCAGACGAGCTCAGATTTGAGATCAGGATTTTAGCAACACAAATTTTGAGTTAGGTTTGTGAACTGGAAGTTCAGCAGTTTCTTTTCTTTGCACAGGATCAAAGAACTGCACATGTGTCATCCGCTAAGACGCTTTTTTGCGGTCCATGTTTTTTTCTACAACCAGACAATTTCTTATCGAGGGTGGTCTTTAAAAGGATAATTGACAGCTGAGTTGTCGCTTGCTAGCCAATAGCTTTCATAGTTTCTTTAGATCCTTTGTTATTTGCTTCTAATCTTTTTTTTGGGAATACTATAGTAAAGGAATTTTCTGTTTTGAGCAATATCCTGCAAGAAGAGTTTAGTTCATCTTAGAGGCTGACAGCTGCATGTACAAACAAAATAATGCAATAGTTTTAGCATTATGAGAGATGTGTTGAACCATAGCAGAAAGCATTCGTATTGTCTAAATCACTACGCAACAGGATTTTATAACATGCATTTTTGTGATAGTATTAAGAGCTATTCAATTGCAGCTATGGGCACGTTATTCTATATTCTGCCATACTTTCTCTTGAGTGTTGCCGCTGACCTGTGAGTCAACATCTACCGACACATCTATATGTCTTGCATCATTCTGCCATTGTTCAGTTATGATGAGCCTAACACGCTGTGGAATCGCCAAACAATGGTCCACTTGTTTGAGTGGAAATGGACGGATATAGCAGAGGAATGTGAGAACTTCTTACAGTACTACGGATATGGTGCTGTACAGGTAAGGAGATCTGAACGGAGAAGAACAATCCTAGTCAAATATTAAAACAAAAATTTTTAAAGATTTCTCCGCCTAATGAGCATATAATGATGAATAAGGACAATGATATGCCATGGTGGGTTAGGTAAGCTGTCAACAGAATAAGTAAAGCAAGAACGAATGAAAAATCTTTGCAGATATCAACCAGTCAGTTACAAGCTCATTTCGCGCAGTGGAAACGAAGACCAGTTCAAAGATATGGTCAAGAGATGCAACAGAGTTGGTGTAAGGTGAGGCAGGAATCCAAATGTAAGATAACAATACGCTAGCATCCTTATCCAAGGAGGACCACTTTGAACTACCCCCACCGGTTTGGAGTATTTTGATATTCCTAAAAATTTCCTCAGAATCATTGCCGACGTAGTCATGAATCACATGGTGGGTGTTGGCCAGAGAGCAGGTGCCTATGGAAGAGGTGGTAGTGGAGGATCGTTCTTTGATGGAACTGACGGAGTCGAGAACTTTTCTTCTGTAAGCATTCCTCTCTGAACCCACCTAAAGCTCAAAAAGATGCAGCAGAAACGATTACTAGGTATCCTATTCGAAATCTGACTTCAATGACTACAAGTGCCATGCAGACATTGCAGGAAGCGACTATGGAAATAATGCCAACAATGTAAGGACAGATTTTTTCTGAAAAAGTTCACATTACATGCATAGTATTTCGCGATACAGGTTAGAAACTGCCGACTTGTTGGACTGCTTGATCTGGATCAGAGCAATCCACACGTAAGAGGAAAACTTATCGGATACCTGAACCACCTTATTGACCTTGGAGTAGCCGGATTCAGGTATGGGTTAACCTCTGCCATCCTTCATCCGCTGGGTGCCGTGCAATCAAGCGTGTTTGCAATGTTTAGATTTGATGCTTCAAAACACATGTGGCCTGCTGACCTAGAAGAAATCCAAGAAGGAACGAAGAACTTGAGAGAAGATGTAAGTTTCTTTTTTTGGACATCCGAATGACAAAGCGAT